TCCAGGTTTTTTCTACTAAACCTTTTAAATACTTAGAGTCGGACTAAGAATTATATTAATGCAACAACCAATCAAATGAAATGAGGACTACGATTGTCTATCTATGTGCACAGCAACCTTTTTAAAGAATCAACTTGGAATTGTTAATATTCTAAACTAGGAGAAAGGGGCAGAAATAAGTAAAAGACTTCACGATGAGTGGAAAAATTATTTTGAGTACATACTTTCTTTAATGAAAAATAAATTTAAATAAATAAATGTAATCCCCCTCTAAGAGCTTAAACTTTTAGATAAAACGGTTCCAAATAGTATCAAAGCAAGTAGAGGTCATGAGTTCAAATCTCACTACCACTGCTTCAAAAATTATGCTCATGTTGGGCCTTAGATGAAAAATTAATCGGCACATAAGGGGATACGGTGAAAACTAAATCTAAATAAATAAATATTTATCCTCTATAATAGCTTATGTTTTTAGATATAGTGGTTCCACATTTTCTTGAGGTATATTAATGTCAAATTAATTGTAGCTGAGTATTATCCATATGCTAGTTAACTGTCAAGGAGCTTGAATAAAATTTCGAAAATCGTCGAAGATTACGATTAAATTATTATAATTGTATTAGATATAGATAGATTGTTTGTACCATTAATTAATATTGTAATTGATTGCTTCCATATTTAGTACAATAAAATCAGTATAAATTACTTCCTTGTAAAGTGTTTCTCCCCATCGAGTCTTTTATTGAGTATATTTGACATGGTATCAGAGCTGTTCCCATCCTAAACAAATTAACCCTTGAATTTCGTTTCCGGCGGGCTGCCTTGTGATGCTTGCCCCGGCCAATTTTATTTTTTGAATAAACACGATCATTTTTTGCAGTTCTACAAATTATAAGTCAATACATATCTCCACCTAAACAAATCAACCTTGTTCATCTCTTTTTTTTGGATGGGGCTTTGATTTTTTTCCCCATTTATATGGTGTTTCATGAGTATAGAGAGATATGGGAGTGCAGATC